ATTCCACTAGTTAGATATAATGACGATAAACAGCAAAGCGATGTTGAGTTCAATTTCACATTATTAAACATACACGACTCAGAACGGGTGATTAACAGTATGAACAACAAAAAAGATTTCAACTTGATATCCATGAAAATGATTATGTCCGCATTTCACTTTATCGGACCGATTTTCCTGCATATCATAAACGATTCGCTGAAAGCCGGTGAGTTTCCCGATATGTGGAAAGTCTCAGCAGTCATACCCGTAGAATAAGTTAAGAACAAAGATAAGCCAGAGGAATTTCGCCTAACTAATATGTTGATGACAGAAAGCAAAATTCTTGAGAAGGTTGTGCATAAACAATTACAAGCACATATGGAGAATAACCGATTGCTTTCTGAAAACCAATCCGGTTTAGACAGCGCCATAGCTGTGAGTCGGCGTAATCACGAGCTGGAAACCAGAAATAGCTGTGTGAAAATGTGTAGTGGCTGTTTTCCTCGACTTTAAGGGAGCAATTGATCGACCGAAGCATATTAATAAAGAAAATGACAAAGTACGGAATGCAGGGAGTTGAGAGAAAATGGTTCGAGAGCTATTTATGCAATAGAAGGCAGTGTACGCGAATATCTGAGTGGGAGTTTGACCTGAACACAGTCGCGTTAGGAGTACCACAAGGGGCGGTGCTGGGAACACTTACACTCCTCATATACATCAACGATATGGAAAAGTATTACGAGGAGTCAAGATCTGCCAGTTTGTTGATTATACCCTATTATATACATCCAGGATTTCAACGCGCGAATGCATTGAAAGTATGAGCTCTAACTTAAATAAAATAATGTAAAAAAAAATTTTTTAAAAAACAAGCTTTTATTTAACATGTACAATCGAAGGAATAAAATAAAGTATGTAGTAGTCTACTTCAAAGAAAACGACCGTACTCGTTCAATGTCACTCAACAACTGCTCTTTATTGCATCATCATTTTTGGAAAGTTCCCAAAGTAACTTATGTATGTACATCAAGTGAAAGAGATAAGCTTATGTACATTGACACATAGTATGCTAGAATGAATACATTATATTGATTAAG